ATTAAAACCAATAAAGATTTTATTCCATCCCAATGGTCAGTTGGAAAAAGAAATTACTGATAAAGATTTTATGGAATCCTATTGGCTAGCTTTGCAATTTGTTTGTTTAATTAATGAAAAAAAAAACCAACTTGGATTTTTACCATGGTGTGCTGCAGGGATGCCATGGAATAATGTTATATAAATTGCTGCATGCATTACTATTTATTACCACAATCATGAAACAAATTTTGTCAGTACATTTAGTTTTGATCACATTTCAATGGCAATTAAACTTACTGGCTTTCCTGCTGATTTACCCTGGAGGAACTCTAAACCATCAGCAATCATGCCTCTGCTGGTACGTTCAGGGCCAAAACCATTGGTGGATTCAAAGTTGAATGGAAAAACTGTTACTCTTCCCCTATGACCTTCTGTTTCATTCAATTTACAAGATTTTTCAAGAGTCATGCAGTAGCAACAGCTGCAAAAGCCATTAAATTGAACCATTTCCAAGAAGCTGCATCTGGCTGGCAAATCGAGGACTGAACCAAGAAGAAATATTTTACTTGTGGTTAAGCCTTTACCTGGAATTACAATGTCCATCCCTACAGAGATAAGTATTCCAAGTTAAATTGTTAAATTGAACATACTTCTTGTTTTACATCTATGGAAAGGATTTTTGTTATAATTGATTAAAGACATATATGTAATAAAACATACATTGTACACTATAACAATGACAAGCTTTACTTTAAAAAAGAACAATAAGCATTTAAGTTATACTTCATTTCTATTTATTTATTTAAATTGATCAGTGACAAGCTTCTGTATGTCTGAATCTTAACTGTGGGCTATTTCAAGATTAATCAACACATTTTGTACATCTTCTGTTTTAGTACATCCTCCAGAGTTGATAACACATTGTTTGGCTTTCTCCCTCAAGTCCAGGTGTAATATTAAAACCCAATGTTACCCCTAACAAACAACTTTTATGATGTCCATTATTACAACATGTACCTTTTGTTTCGAGAACTTCTAAAGATGCTTTGAAGGGCTTCAAAAAAGTGGACATTACTGGTTTTTTGTCACCGAACCAGAGACCACCCAATACCATGTTCTCTAAACGTCTCCTTTCAAAACAAATAAATCTTATCAATGTCTTCAAATGGGCACATCACAACGGGCAAGCACACATAAGGGCTAACACTGGCTAATAGTGGAAATACGTTTTTTTGCAACAACTCACGAGGCCATTAAGGGCCACCAGAGTTTAAACTTACCCGGTAGTTTGTTATTGAGGTACTCTGTGTATGGGTCATGGCCATATCTCCCAACCATTATTACGATGCCATGAAACTAACCTCTTTACTTCAGCCACTCTCTAACTATGAAAGGTTGCCCAATAATCATATCAATGACTATAAAGCGACAGCCTCTCACGCATTTAATAGAACTTAATAAAGTAACAGTACACAGTTAGCCAGCTTTACCTTCCAGATCACAATAAACTAATGAAAAAAAGCCCTTCTAACAGAATATTACTATCAAGTATCAATCATTTGGTTTAAAGTGATAAATACCTTTTAATTGGAGGTAATTCATTTACTTGGAAGAACACAAGCCATATACTGGAATTTGAGGATTTGAATATGGACACACCATCAGTATTGAACTTCAAGGACAGGTTCTCCATTTGAGAAAGTGGACCATTGTTCTGGAACAATTCTCTTTATAGGTGACCATCGTAAACATCATCAATGTCCTGAGGTGATTTTTTATTGCTGTGAAAACGATATTTTATGTCTTCTTGAAATTGCTCTTCTGATGAATTATAAAGAAATAATCTTGCTCTTAATAACAACTGCCGGTGTAGCAATGAATGACATGCTAGGCTTTACTGAGTACAAATGCATGCATGTCTTTTGTGGTTTCATTTCATCCTTCGTTCAAATTTTTATACTCTCCTTTGTTACAATTTACTGAAACAACTATAGCCACCAAAGTGTGCATTTGGAATCTTCAAGTCTAACTATAGCAATTAATTACTTTGGAGTAACTTAATTATGGTCAAACATTGCCATACGCAGTAACAAAGGAAAATAAAATGTAAACCATGGATAAATTAAACCACCAAAATTAAAATTAATCTACACTTCCATATCACAGATTCCAGCTGAGTTACAGGTGTTCAAACATGTCGTGCTAATTAAGAGTGAACCATGAAATCTTAGTGTTACTGTTGTTAATTACTGTTTTGATCAACAAAAAACCGGAAACATCGATATGCCACCAAACAGTGCATTTGGAATCTTCAAGTCTAACTATAGCAATCATAATTACTTTGGAGTAACTACACTTACTTTGCATGAGTTCTTGCAGCTGACTTTCAATGGAAAGAACAACAAAATATGGCTGCTTCTTCAAATCGCTCACAACTTTATTGCATATAGAGCAGACATCAGCTGTACTCCCTAACACTCCAAAGTATTCACTACAAAATTTGCAGTAGAAGTGTTTTGTTATTGGAAGTTGCGAATCTGAAAAGTATTTTTTCAAGGCACGTAATGAGCTGACACACTTGTTTTGGGGTCCAGGAATGCAGTGCAAATTAACTAACGAGATTACATCTGAAAGACAACTTCCATTGAGATCGTGAGTGACTGCCAAAGTTAGGATCAAAAGAATGCTCTCAGACAGTTTGAGTGGGGAGCCGGGGTACACAAACGGGTCACTTTTGGTCGGATCACCATTTTGAGTACATATGCCGTCGTCAAAAATCAATTCTTCCTCGTCATCTGCAGAGTTCTCACTGTAGCTTCTGCCATCACCTTCGGATGCACTACAATCCATGTCTGGGATATCATCGCTGTTGTCCTCTGGCAAGGACATAACCTCATGACTTCGTGCTGAAGAGGAGGACACATCAGACAGATCAGAGTTAGTATTTCCATCTGCAGCGCAAGTAAATTCCTCTGAATTGTCACCATCTGAATAGTGCGCTTGGCGCTCCTCAGCGGTGTCTTCTTCATATTCATCGGTGGTAGAGCTTACTGTCTTTCCATGTCGAAAATGAGTCCTCTTCGGTTTTCCAAGGGATATAATTCTTCGATGAGCGTTGTAACGGCTTCGTTTTCTCGGCCTATAATTAACATCAAGACTTGCAAGTGGTTGATCTTCCATCTCATTCATTTGATACGACGATGTGCGGACACAGAATGTGAGTGGCGTAAGCTGGTATTGAGAATCTTCCGTCATTTTCGCGCCCACGTACAAAGCGCATGCTCTTACTTTGCAAAAAGATCCCAAGGCCCGTGGACTCGAGAGAACTAAGGAACTTGGTAAGTTAATCATTTAATATCCTCGTTTTCCAATGCCTGATGGCACTGATCACGTGGCTGATTCACGTGACTAGACAAAGGCGGGAATTTTTTGTGCCGCCTTCCAGGCGCCGCAAGGAAGCAGTGTTTCATCAATTAAATTTCGCCCATTTTGGACAATTTTTTTCATAATGAGAGACAAAAAGGCGCCTTGTCGCTTCACTGACGACCTTGGTAAGTCATGTAACATTAACTGCGTTTTAAGGATAGTTATCTTAGCTGCGAATAAATGCTTTGCTGTACCTTAGTTCCAGAAGAATTTTGGAAGCTAGGTGGACCAGAGTTTCGCTACCTTCGGCACATTTTGAGAGCGTGAAATTTGTTATTGTTTTCATTGATATCAATACAAAGGCCATTAGATAACTAAGGACAGCACACTCTGGGGGGGGGGCCTCTGGGAAACCGCAAAACCAGAACAAAAAAACCGCCAAAACCGAAAAACCGACGAAAAAGGCAGCAAAACCGAAGACCCCATGCAAACTTGACAAAACCGCTATACATTTTCACCTTTAAAGGAGTTAAAAGAGAAAAACCGAAAACCGTATCAGAGTTTTCGTGAAAACCGAAAGCCGAATGCAAAAACACGTGAAATCCGCAAACCGCTCTGAACATCAAAACAGAAAAACCGAACTTTTTTGGCCCAAAAACAGAAAAACCGATCCAAAAGACAGTCAAAACCGTAAAACCGAAAATCCTAAAGCCCCCCTCTGTTTGCTTTTGCATGCTGCAATAGACCTTTTCGCGGTACAACCGTCATTTCGAAAACGGGGCAAACAGCTAATGCAGGAAGCACAGTGTTTGTATGAGGATTACTGCAATGTCAAAAAACGTAAATGTAATACTAAAAATCTACCCAAATGTTGAATGGTGAGGGTAATATGGAGAACCAAACATTTCTCTGTTTGAAATTGAGGGGCATATATATCTATCTAGGTAAGCTGGAAAGTGGGTAATCGTGTTTTTCATTTTCCATACATCCGTCTGTCGCCTGCGCGAAGAATATAGTGAGAAAAATTTCCAGACAAATGTATGGAATGTTAAAAACACGATTGCACGCGTTTTGGCCCAGTAATTCTCCCAACTCTAAATAGAGAAATGCTTGCAGGGCCTCTACATTACCCTCACCACTCAAGTTTGTATAGATTTTAAACATTGGAGAAGTTTCTAAAAAATTAAAGGTGTATTTCGCGCGCTGTTTGACCCATTCATTTTCAACATGGCGGATTTTACCGCAAAAAGGTCTATCAACTGCGTGGCTGCCTGGTGCCATTATCAATCAAAGAACTAAACCATGTCGTCATGAGAAAAGTGAAATTGTTAATCTTACAATGAAAAATGTCCTTTTGTTGTCCTGCATGTAGAACACTACCTTGTTGTCTTTAAAGAAGATGACATCAAGAAGATTTTCGGAGCTGAAGAGCTAAGGAAATGTGGTGAAAGAGTAAAAGGTGCTTCATGTGAAGCTCTTTGGAAGGATTCTAATCATACTGACTGGTATCCTGCCTTTATCGTGGACATTGGAGGTGAGCTCGAGATGTATGTTCCTTGAAGAAACAACTTATTTAAATATGAATTGCATGATAGTGTTATGTAGTGCTTTCAATGAGAACTAGCAGTTGTTTCTCAATTTCCCTTCTTCTCTTGGCTTCTATTGAAAAATAATCTAATCCTGCAGATCTTGAATATTTGAAAAGTGTTCAGCTTGGTCGACAAAAACTGCAGAAGGTGCAGAAGAAAAAATTACCTGCAGCCTCCAGTACCAACAAGAAAGCTGCAGTCAGTGCAAAGAAAAGAAAGAGACCTGCAGGTAGAAATAAACTGGCAGTTTCATCAATATGGCTATGGCTATAAATATGAGTTTTATTATTGATAATGGTTTAAGTCATTATTTTGCCTTGTTAGTGCAAAGCTGAACAGACAACTTGCACATAATTTAGAAATTTTAGAAAGAAAAAAGCATCATTCAAATTAATGAGTGAAAAAATGAAGGAGTGACACAATTTAACCTAAAGAATTCTCTTTAATTTAAAAAAGGATATAGGACAGAATTAAGAAGGAATTGCTCATAATTAAGTACTGGTTTTTAATGTAAAAAAATTCATGCAATGATATTAGCATAACATAAAATTTAGCTTAATTGTTATATGCATGATTTCTTTCTTACTGTTGCTACCATATTAATCAGTTCAAAAATTACAAGATGTAGAGAGTGAATGCGAAGATGAGCAAAAAAGGAGGAAAACCCTTAACAATGATGCAAAGGCTAAAAAAGCTGCCAATGCAAAAGCTTTAAAGGAGGCACTTCTGAAGAGAAGGCTGGAACAAGCAAAGGTGTTTGACATACCTCCAAATGACAACTATGACTCAGATATTGAATGTACAAGTAGTAACAATATGCATGTAAATCAAGAGAAGGAGTACCTCTGTACAGTCAGACAAGTAATCACATACACAGGGTCCAAGGACAAAAGAAAACCAAAGGAGTCAGGAATATAACTAAACCATGCAAGTTTTCAAATATCACTATACATTTTAAAATTGTTCAACTTCATTACCCAATTATTGGTGGCCTTAACAATGCCTTGAAAGTTAGGGGTGAAAGGGGGCCATTTGACCCACTAACACCTGTAATTACCTAAATCACCCATGCATGATCGTACAAGAGCAAGACATAATCAATTCCTGCAAACTTATTGGGTATCTTACGGGTCAAATGCAAGACTGATTAAGACCCTCAGCTGGTAATTATTTAGAACTACTGGACCAATTAATGTAGCACAAAAAAATGAGTTATTCCTAAAGAGGTTATAGAAGGCCCAGTAGCTTTGGGCATTGGAGTTCACTCCTTGGTCAAGATTGTAACTATATAGCCAATTGTTTTGCCTAGAGGTGATTTGGGGTTCTTAATATTGTTAAAAATTTTTACTATCCTTGCCTTTGGAACATAATGGAAACTACACTGTATTGGGCCTAGAACTATCTATTACCCAACCATATGGGCCATGCACAAGGCGTTATATATAGTAAGAGAGCTATCTAATTTTATTTCATTAAGCCAGTATGTTTGAAATAATGATATGATTATTATTATCTTTTTCATTATGTAACTCAGCTCAACAGCCATTGTCTGAAAGTGAAAGCGAGAGCCAGTCACTGTCAGATATCGAATGTGTAGATGATGTAGGTGACTTTGAGCATTTTACAAGCACAACATTGAGGAAACAAGTTCCACATTCTTTCGACACATTTTGCAAGTCTAAAGAAAAAGAGAAAAAAGGTAAACATATACTTTTGACACTATTGTGTGATATGTTGAAAGACTGAAACACACTGTGGAATGATTTTGTTGAAAGCTATAAAACCATTTATTAGGACTTAATAATAATTAGTTCCTTTTAAATTACCACAATAAATACATAACACCAACACTAAACTTTTCCTAAATCAAGTTCTCAAGTGAACCCCACTAAACTGTCTTGTAGCTACTGTGACTTTCATTTGACGCACCTTGAAAGTCTAGGCGTGTAAATTTGACTGATTTATTGGAAAGAAGCGAATGTGCTTGGCTTCTGGTTGATCTTGTGAATGCAGGGAATACCCAATGCAATGTGTCAGCAAGTTTTCGGCATTCTGATAGGTTAGTCAAATTAACAATGCAAGACAACTTCAGCGCGGTTTAAGTGTGTACCCACATTTTGTGGGTCGATTATATGCACTCTATTGTTTTTCTAATCGAATATTTATTATTCACGGCACGAACAATTTCCGAAAATGTAGCTATAGCTTGTACGATCGCAAGCGCTCTGATGTTAGGTGCCTTAAATTTCTTTTGTTTCTCGTTTCATGTTCGGATGATGTTTTGATTCACTGCTAAAATTAACTTTATAACTTTTTAAGTGGAAAGCCGGAATTACGTTAAAAGTGTAAGATGATATTACGTGTTGATATTAAAGTGTAAGATGATATTACGCTAAAAGTGTAAGATGATGAGGCCATATAGCCATTTCATCAAACCGCAATGCATGCGTTGCAAAAAAGTATGGAAGGTTTTGGGTTTGCGATTGAGTCCTCCAAGTCTGGTTTGAAAATTGCAAATTTTTAAGCGTCCTCTGTAAGCGAAGTTTACAACAGACTTTCAAATAGTTTTAAAATTGGCGAATAAGATATGCTACGTACACAACACCAGGTTTACGAATTTTGATAAGCAAAATAAACATTGCTCATAACTTTATTTGTTTCCTTGACAGCTTGAGCGTCTCAAACTAACAGCTGAAATATTTCAGCGTTATTGAAGCCGTTACCATATTGCCCTTAATTAGGCTTGTGAAAGAAATCAAACACTGAGGTAACATCGGCGACGCACTAATGAATTGAATAAAGCGTACTACGAACGTGACCAGCCGCCTCTGGTCAACAAAATATTCCATCAAAAATACATTATTTGCCACATGCAGCCTTTAATTTAAATTTCGCTTTCCAGTTTTTCAAAGGCAAATGAAATAGCGGCAAAGAGTTATAATTTTCATAAGAAATCCGTTTTTCCGCTTTATCTCAACCAAAACTTTCATTTAAGGGCTCGTTTTAAAGCCTTTTTAAAAAACGCTTCTCAACACTAAACCAGAAATCGTTATTTTAGCGCTAGGCGTTCATTTGCAGAAAAACACAAGTGGATATTTTTGTAAACGCGAATTAAATATAAACAAAAGGATACTAATTTGATGCCACGCAATTAGCCCGCATTTTGAAAGCCTTTTGAAAAAGAATAATAGCTTCTCCGCCCAAAAGTCGCAAGTTCTTCCATCGACAGCCTTCTCACTTCATCGGACAAAGGCCGAACGCTTGCGAACGCCTCTCAGAAATGCAGTTTGTGAGCCCTCGTGGTAAAAATGCCAGCGGCTACCCTCATTTCAGAAAGACACACTTAACCGTCGTGAAGTTGTAGTGTGTTTTTGTTTCTTCAAACAAAAGCGGCTCCATCACAAGTGTTCTGCATATAGCTGTGATGATGACTATGTTATGCACTACAGAAAAAGTCTTACTTAGCCTTAATTATTAAGGCTAAATAGGCGCATGATCTCATAATCTACCAGATAGTGATTAACTAATATTTAGCTTTCACTTCCAACAGGTATACATTCTACAGAGAGAATCCAGACAGAAAATTCCTGCGGTTGTCAGGAAAGCATTCTCTTAAGAGAAGAGAATGCAAAACTAAAAAGACAAGTAAAAGACTTGCAACTGAAAATTAGTGGTAATACTTTATCTACTCTATTTTGTATGATGGTGATGGAAATATTTTATTTTTATTTGCCTGTGTCACCTTAAGTGAGACAATTTAAAGGCCAAAAGTGTTTATTTCATTGTTTATAGAACCAATTCACTTCTCAGTCTGTTTCATATACACCCCCAATGGCCAATCAAAGAACTTACAAATGCCTATATAATTCATTCATTTACGTAACCAATCACATATCACAGTGATCGTTTTCTTGAGTGCAAGTGTTGGTATATATAAACATGCAACAACTGGGTATAGACAATGCCCCTTCCACTTTTGTTGTTCCTACAGGTTCTTCATTAGTTTTTTCATCATCACTCACCCCAATCCTGGTTTTTGCTCCACCAAACAAATATTTGTTGCAAGCTTTTGGTTGACCACTTGGGTGTCATATGTCTGTTGAGTGACCATAATATATTTTGCACCCCAATGAAAGGGGAAACAACAACAGGGTTCAGTGAAAAAAGTTTTTGTCAAGGATTAAAATATAAAGAAAATGGCTTGATGGGTAAAAACAAAGACACATTAGTCTTAGATATAGTGGGAGATCTTGTTCTTTTCAAAGTAAGATTTCTTCAATTCATTCGTCAAGCAATTAATCTAGGGGAAATCAGTTTTAGCTTGAGTGTGAGATTCAAGTTACTGGGAATCTACTGCATCTATTGATATTATAGTTGTTGGTCCTTGTTCATAACAGTGTTCTTGTTGTTTCCTAGCAATCAAATTTAGTTTGCATTATTCAATATTTTTCAGAGCAGTCTGTAATTCAAGAAACAGATGAGAAACCCCTTGCTGGGGTTATTTCTTCAGTGCTAGCTGGAAAACACAAGGTACCTTTATGCTACCATAAAAATAGATTGATAATAATTAGTCTTGAAAATCTGCCATAATTAACATTGATTTATTTAGTGATTGATATGCGTAGCTTCAGATAATACTTACCTAGCTATCCTAAAGATCATGTTTATACTGTTGATATAATAACCTCAGGTATTCTGAATGTATATATATCTACAACATGTACTGTAAAATACCAAAAATAAGCCCCTCCAAATATAAGTCCCTCAAACTCAAAACGCAAAAAACTGCCCACTAAGTAGCCCCTCCGTCCATAAGCTCCCAGAAGTCAAAGCACCAATGAATATTACCATTTTCCTAGCCAATTTTGAAACACAAATATCCCTCCTTTAATGAGCCCCTCCATTAGCCCCACTGAATATAAGCCCCTTAAAAACAGCCTTTTAAATATAAGCCCTAGCTGGGGCTTATTTTCGGAATTTAACTTTATATCAAAGATAGATCTAGAATTCAGCCAAGTTCTCATTACTTTCAACTGTTTTCTCTGTTTTATAGATGGAAGAGGTAGTGACTGGGAGCATGGTATATTGGTATCCCTCCCAACGGTTAAATGCATTAGCAGAAGGGAAAACCATTGGCTCTATGACATCATACCTGCTGGATGTCTTTTTCAGTAACGAGACAATGAGTGTCTCTAACCTAAATGGAGGGGGCTATTGTGGCTATAAGCAGCTCTGTCCAAAGACAGTCCATGCTATTACAGGTATGTTTTAATTTATTAAAAACTGGATCATTGGATAATGCAATTCAAGACTTTTTATTGGCTTAGCCATTATGGTATATGAGCCAATATACCATAATCTACAAATATGGTAGCGTGAGCGTCGGGTTAAAATTAAAAGGGAGCTAAAAAGTTTAAGATTTGGTAAGATTTGTCTAATATCTTGGGCGCGTTTTTAATAAAACAATCATTCCACTCACGCTTGTTGGATATGAGATGATTATGGCCAATATACCATAAACCCAAATATGGTAAGCGTACGTGTCAGCTTAAAATTAAAAGAGAGCTAAAAATTTAATAAAATTTAACAAGTTAATTTAACATTTTTAATAAAACAATTCTTCCACTTGCCCTTGTTGGATATGAGATGATTATAGCCAACTCGGCGCTATGCGCCTCATTGGCTATCTATCATCTCATATCCAATGCGTGCTTGTGGAATAATTGTTAATTATACTTTTCAAATTAATAAAATGAGCAGCACATTAATGAGCAACACTTTTTTGAATTACTGACTGCCTTATGCTTTGCTTTTAAGATCTCGTATTAGCAACCCCTCACTTAAGTAAAAGTATTTTAAATTCTTGATCAAATTTAGAGTAACATTTAATATATGGGATGATCGTTCATTGATCTGCACATTTGTGAACCTCTTCTGTGGTCAGCAATTTTTAATATTGGCAACCAATAACATCCCAAACTTTCTGCTAATTAAAAGCTGTAGTAAGCTACCACCCTATCACATGGTCACTTATAAGAACCAATTCTTGTAATTGATCAGCTCTAGTTGTGACCAATTTACAAGAGCGTCATGGTATCCCATGAATTAAAAAACTACCCACAGAAACGTTTGTCCTTCCTGATCTGTTTTGGCGATTGAGACACACGGAAGAAAATGCATGTAAGCCATTTGACTGCATGCATGTGAAAGATGATATTATTACTATATTTAATATATATCACAAACTAATTCATGATTCTAAGTATATAACTTGCTTCTCATTTGACAGCAGTTGTACAGTCCCAATTCAAGGACTCAAAAGTAGCCCTTGTGCGGAAAACGATCCAAGATAAGTGCACAGGATGCCGTCGAGGAATTTCGAAAAGGGAAGAGGAATGTTGACACTCTTTATATATATATATATATATATCTTTAGCATGCATTTACATTTTATGACCCTTAAACATGATGGCACTCTATAAAAGGAGAGGTGCCTTAGGTACCTCTCGACCATTTGTCAATCAACCGTCATGTGGTGTAGAACTCTGGGAGTCAAGTCAACTTGAGCTATAGCCTAAACCAAAGCAGTGAACTGTGGGTGCATTCCTCAAAGTTGTTTTATGTTTTCATCACAATACAAGAATTTTTGAGATTTGTATTTCCTTTCTCCAGTGGAAACTGTCTTTCTTTGTGGCAACAAATTTGAAATCTAAGTAGGTGCATGGTTCGCACATTACATCATTGCCGCCATGCTGGTGGAAGTAAACAATAGATATCTCATTAGCTCCTTTTGTTCATCCCCCAGCATTTGTTCCTTTTACCATAATTTGTTACCCCAGAGGCTCCTGAGGGCATGCACCTCTCCTTTTACAGTGCGCCTGCATGTTTAATCTTGTCCAATACACATCATTGAAGTCCATGCACCCAACAGTTTAACTTTTATGGGTGATATAGACTTATTATTTTCTTAATTGAATGCCTGCATGGTTTTATTGCTTAATGGCAATTGATGTGCTTTAATTCGAGAGAAGTTTCATGCATAATTTATATATGTAGTCAGTGTGAAACCTAGCTATAGCTATATATGAAATGTGTTTTAATGACTAGCTAAGCTTATTTTTTTATCAGAATTTGTGAAAATCACTAATTGTAAAAACACTTAATGCATGTTGATTCATTCAAACCATTACTTCTTCAACTGACCTGTAATTTACCAAATACATGTCACTTTGCATGTTGTGGTTCGATCAGTTTTATCCTGGGTTCAATTTAATTTCCTTATTATTAAATAAACTCTTTCATTATTGCATATAGTCATATATCCAAAAACTGTATATTTATACACTATACAGTTATATTGTCTATGCACATATTAACAGGGTTTCTCAAAGCCCTGGCCCTGGTTACAGAAATAAAAAGTTTTGTGGTCTCAATTAAGGACTGTAGTTATTCTATATTGACTGCAATTGTCTTTTGCCAGCTATTATCAACTATAATACATGAATGCCTTTTGGTTGACCTGCGTGACCTGCATGACCTGCATGCATGCATGCATTTTTGGGTTCCCAGGTTCCACATATATATGTTATATATATGTTATATATATATATATATGTTACATATATGTCACATGTATATGTCACATATATGTGATATACATGCAAGAGGAGTGCCAAATTCCTACATATGCCACATTTATGTCACATATATGTGGCATATATTTGACATATATGTCAAATATAGAGCACATATATGTCACATACATATGTAACATATATATGTCACATACATGCATTTGTGGTTCCCAGGTTCCACATATATATTACATATATATGTTATATATATATGTTATATATATATATATGTTACATATATGTTACACGTATATGTCACATATATGTGATATACATGCAACAGGAGTGCCAAATTCCTACATAAGCCACATTTATGTCACATAAATGTGGCATATATTTGACATATATGTCAAATATAGAGCACATATATGTGACATACATATGTAACATATATATGTCACATATATGTAGATTTGGTTAGGGTCCACACCTCTCTGGAGCTCGCATTTGCTTTTTCAAAATATTGTTCTTGTTTATCTCGGTCCCATCAATGTCCATCCTCGAAAAAAGATACTTAGCCTCTCTAAAATCGGTTATATTGTAGATGAGCTGGGACTTCGTTTCGCTGAATTCGTCACCAAAATTGGAATGATGTCTTCTCCAATGCTGGCAAATACTTCCGAGGTTATGTCCATCATAAACTCGCCCAGCCATGGATTTTCTAGCTTTAGCCCGTTATTCAAACGTCAAATTATCTTGAAATGGATCTTTCTCAATGATCTGGTGACCATACTCCTTCAAGGTAATAAACGTTGAACGTTTGCAAATCTGGATCGATAGCAGTATTTGTCTTCTAGGATTTCTACGGCGCTGTCAAGCTCTCTGAAGAAGTTGTTTAAAAGTAGAATTCCATCTCCATTGGAACTGTGGCCTAAGCAATCAGACTTTGCACGAAGCAGTGTTGACCGTACCGATTCAGAAAACTTCACATTGACGGCCATCTTGAATTTTTTTATATCACAGAAATAGCCGCCATGTTGGATTTACCCATCAGTCGCCACGAGCCTCTAATGTAACATTTGAGGAGTGGTTTGGCCCCGCCGTGTTGCGTGCTGTGAACGCGTCATTATTATCTGTGTACAGAAGAAAGTATTCCTATCATATCCTAAGGATAGAATCCTCGAAAAATCAAAAGTTCGGCTGAGGCTGTAGTGACGTACGGAACTCGGTGTCCTGAAGAGGCTGAAAACAGACGAGAACCATAATCATTAGTAGCTTGCTGCAAGAACTGCGAATGGTCAGTATTAACTTATGTATATATACATGGATTTATATTTCTGACATTTCTAATCAGATAAATTTACGCAAAGGTACAAGAACGAAGTTCAGTGAACTTGAAGCTTAAGCTTCAAGAGTTGTAATTCATTGTCCTAAAGTGTTAAAAGCTGACCCAGACTGAGCGATATGAATATTAAGGATTCTTACTGAATCTTAACTCACTTTTAACGGTAATTCACGATAGAGGTACATGTCTATATCTGTTGGATCATGCTTAGCTTTGATCGACTTGAGCGCGCGGTAAAATGTCAAAAAGAGTTTCAGTTACGGTAATTAGTGTAATTAGTGTTAGCTAATGTTTTTGCAGTGACAGAGACGAGATATTTTGTCAATTTCTTCCTAAAACCGATGAGCAAGGCGAAGTAATGCTACTCAGTATGCCAGTAGTCTAGATCGACTTGGCTTATTCAGAGTTAGGCCCAATTCAGACGTCTTACTTTTGTCGTGCCGACCTTAATTTCAATCAGGTTCGACTTTAGCACGTCTGAAAAATGACTCTCATTCAAACATCGGGCTAGGATCTACGAACAAACATTCAGGCTTTACTGAAGTAAAGTAACAATTTATTTATTCTCGTAACTTCCAGCGATAACATACAGTAGCATAATATTTTAATTTTGTTAGGCTCGGCGGCTAGGAGAGCCAAAATCAAGCTAAGATTTTATTCTGCTGTTTGGCAATGCAGTTTCCAATGTTTTCACTGGTGTTTTTGATGTTACGAATTGTGTTTGACATATATTCTGACCTATTCTCAATTATGTTCGCCAAACGTCGCTGTTGTTTTTTTGCTCCTGTATTCGATTCGTTGTTTTTCGAATTAAGTTTGTGTCAGTTCCAATTTGTGATAGGCGAACTAGGATTCTATTATTCGTGTTTCGAATTATGTTGTGTCGTTTCAAATTGTGTTGTGCAAGCTTTGATTCAGTCATGAATTTTTAAATCCGGGTCCTCAGAGGACTTGACCGCTATGGTCTCAGGGGTTTGGTGCGAGTTCTAAATTAGGTGCTGCTCTTGCCAAGAGTGGCCTTTTCGATTTTCGTTCAAAAAAAGTTCTTTGTTTTATTTTTTGACCAAGAAAGGGGTTTGGGACAAATATTTCAAAAATGGTCTCTGGTTGTTCTCCAATTCCTTTTTTTTTTGCGTCGTGCAAACGTGGCCAAATTTTAGAACCTTTCACGTTTCACAGATGAGTGATAATAATCCCCTTATTGACCAATCACACGCAATCTATACAACTGAATCGAAAGTGAAACAACTGGTAAAGCGTGAGTTCCCCGACAGCCGCCCGCTGCGGACTCACCAATATTATCTGTGTACAGAACAAAGTATTCGTATCATATCCTAAGGATAGAATCCTCGAAAAATCACAGGCTCGGCTGAGGCTGTAGTGAACTCAGTGTCCTGAAGAGGCTGAAAACAGACGAGAACCACAATCACCAGTAGCTTGTTGCGAGAATTGCGAATGGTCAGTTTTAATTATGTATACATACATAGATTCATATAGTCTCATGATCAGGTAAATTTACGTAGAGGTACTAGAACGAAGTTCTGTGAAGTTAAAGCTTAAGCTTTAAGAGTTGCAATTCATTGTCCTAAAATGTTAAAAACTGACCCAGACTGAGCGATATGATTCTTAAGGATTCTAACTGAATCTTAACTCACTTTAACGGTAATTTACGATAGCGGTACATGTCTATATCTGTTGGACTATGCTTAGCTTTGATCGACTTGTGCGCGCGGTTAACTGTCAAAAAGAGTTTCAGTTACGGTAATTAGTGTTAGCTAAAGTTTTTGTAGTGACGGACACGAGATATTTTGTCGAATTCTTCCTAAACCCGATAAGCAAGACAATTTAGTGTTACTCAGTATGTCAATAGTCTAGATCGACTCGGGTTATTCAGAGCTAGGCCCAATTCAGACGTCTTACTTTGTCGTGCCGATCTCAAGTTAATTTCAATCAAGTTCAACTTTAGCACGACCGAAAAATGACTCTCATTCAAACACTGGGCTAGAGTTGAACAAAAATTCAGCCTTTACCGAAGTAAAGTAACCATTCATTCTTACTAGTAACTTCCCTCGACAACATACATTGGCATGATTTTATGAGAGCCAAAATTAAGTTAGGATTTTGCTTTGCTGTGTGGCAATGAAGTTTTCAATGTTTTCACAAGTATTTTTGATGTTACGGATTGTATTTCACGTATTCTTAATTATGTTCCCAAACATCACAGTTGTTTTCTTGCTCATGTATTCGATTCTTTGTTTTGGAATTGTGTTCCAATTTGTGTTCTACGAACTCCGATTCTATTATTCGTGTTTCGAATTATGTGGTGTCGTTCCAAATTGTGTTGTGCGAACTTTGATTCTGTTACGATTTTCTAAATCCGGGTCTTCAGAGGACTCGACCGCTATGGTCTTAGTGGTCTGGTACGAGTAACAAGTGAACATAACAAGTAAAGCCAATAGAACCGATTTGCATACAGGAAATCGGTTCACAACAAGTGAAGCGTAGAAGTGAAGACAACAAGTGAAGCGTACAAGTGAAGCCAATAGAACCGATTTGCATACAGCAAATCGGTTCACAACAAGTGAAGCGTAGATCCCTCACCAGTTGCGTGCTGCGAACGCGTCAATATTATCTGTGTACAGAACATAGTATTCGTATTATATCTTAGGGATAGAATCCACAAAAAATCACAGGCTCGATGACGTATCGAACTCGGTGTCCTGAAGAGGCTGAAAACAGACGAGAAACATAATCACTAGTAGCTTGTTGCAAGAACTGCGAATGGTCGGTATTAATCATGCGTGTATATATAGTTAGATAGTTAGATAGCTCTATATATATATATATATATATATATAGTTAGACAGTTAGATAGCTCTCGCTTGGCTTTGCCTTTTGGCTACCTTGCGATTGAGCACTCTACACTGGGGTTGCCATGCACTTAGCCTTCGGGCGAAGCTCATCACCTTAGTTGTGATTTGAGCACTCTCGCATGGCAACATGGATATCCAATTGTAGACATCGGCGAAAATATATTCTCAGGTATTCTTAACGCTATTATCGGCGCGCGCACGGTTTTCAAGATTTGAATTTTTAAACAATGTCATGTGATCACGTTGCTGAGTTAGAGTTAACCGTCACGATGCCTCAGTGTGTATGGAGTTTAACTGATGAGTGGATCAACTTTTGTTGGTCTACGAAACAGGCTGTATTAAAATCCATATGTGTGTAACTTGAGTAGTCCATTTGCTACTATATATATATATATATATAAACAGACTAGGGGACATCGTGGCTGTGAAAAAGTGCTCGATGCGGGTTGCAGAGCGTTTCAATAGCGGTTATAAATTAATGACGGGAAGATCGTTTCACCGTTACTCTGAGTTTCACGCAGCTTGCGCTGCGATCGTGTGACGGGTTTTTATTATCGATGGAAAACATACCGTGCTATAAACTCAATTTATAAATAGAAATTATAGTTAAAATAATAGGAAGCAATTAAGAAGACAAAGGACTGTTGCTATTGGTTTCGCAAGTAGAACTTGTTTTCATGGCGGCACTTAGAAATGAGTTCTGATCGTTTGTTTACTGAAGGGGATTTGTCCGCGGTGATTATGAGGAATTTTTCGGGAAGGCAGAGATTGCATGTTCTTGAATTTCCTTTGTAAGATGCAGCTTTGTGAATTATCGACCAACGAATGGAGTAGGAAGTGTTGGTGCTCTTAAGTTCCCAAATGTATTTGGATAGCTCGGTGCTGTTAGCGTAGGCTTTGTTTAGGAATGAGAGGGAATGCTGCGTGTATCTTTGTTTGAGAGAATTTTCTGTTAGGCCGATGTAGTTTTTGCTCGTTTGGTCTTTGTTTGTGGTGACTTTAGCCTTGTAAATCAGGGAGGAAGTGAGGCAGTTGTTCTGTAAGGGGCAGGCTTGTTTTACTCTGCAGTTACACTTGCGGTCTTGGCTGGTCGAGGGGGGATTCAGGATTTTCTGGTTGTGCCTTCTGATAATAGAATCCATGTTGTCCATACAGCTGTAGCTGACTTTGATGGTGTTTTTGTTAAAGATTTTGTGGTATTTGTGAGAGGTGGGGAAGTGCTTCTGAAAAAGTGTAAGAAAAGTTTTACCGACATTAGTTGGGACGTTTTTGCTGAAGGGAGGGTTGAACCAGATTATCTGCCTTCTTCTCTTTGAGCCGTCACGGGAACTAGGGGGTGAAGGTGTGGCTGGCTTGAGGTAGGAGAGAGGGGTGTTATATCCGCTTGATTTCAGGGCGTCTTCGTATGTGGGCTTGGTCTTGTTGAAGACATCTTCGTTACAGGAGAGGTCACAGATACACCGGTTAATAGACTGTGGAAGGTGCTTGATGATGGAAGGGGGATGGTTGGATTTAGCATGGACGTAAAGGGGATCGTTGTTGGGTTTTCTGTAGGGGCAGTATGTTCCTTTCGTTAGGTCTAGTGAGACGTCGAGAAAGCTGACTGTTTTAAGTTGGTGTTTAGGGAGATTGAAAGGCCGTATTGTTTGAAATGGGCTAATGTTGTTTTTCTAAAGCTGTGCGCCTCCGGGCCTGATGCGTTCTTTAGTAAGGCTAGGCCGTCGTCTCTGTTGGTAGCACCAATATCAGCCTCTATTGTCAATTATGTTCGCCGAACGCTGTTGTTTTTTTGCTCCTGTATTGGATTATTTGTTTTCCGAAGTCTGTGTCAGTTCCAATTTGTGTTGGGCGAACTACGATTCTACTATTCGTGTTTCAAATTATGTGGTGTCGTTCCAAATTGCGTTGTGCAATCATTCATTCTGTTATGATTTCCGAAATCCGGGTCTTCAGAGGACTCGACCGCTATGGTCTCGTTGGTCTGGAGCGAGTTCTAAATTAGGCGCTGCTCTCGCAAGAGCAGTCCTCTTGATTTTCCGGTCCAAAAAAGTTTTCTTTGATTCTTTTGCCCACGAGAGGGGTCTAGGGCAAATGTTTCAAAAATAGTTTTTGGTTGTTCTCCAATTCGTTTTTGTGCCGGGCAAACGTGGCCAAATTTTAAAACCTTTCACGTTTCACAGATAAGTGATAATAATCCCCTTTTGACCAATCACACGCAACCTATGCAACTGAATCGAAATTGAAGCAACTAGTGAAGCTTAAGTTCCCCGTCAGCCGCCGTGCTGCGAACGCGCCAATATTATTTGTGTACAGAACAAAGTATTCGTATCATATCCTAAGTATAGAATCCACGAAAAATCACATGTTCGGCTGGGACTATAGTGAAATCAGTTTCCTGAAGCGGCTGAAAACAGACAAGAAACATAATCACTAGTTGCTCGTTGCAAGAACTGTGAATGGTCAGTACTAATTATGTATATATACCTAGATTCATTTTTCTGACATTTCTGATTAGGTAAATTTACGCAAAGGTACTAGAACAGAGCTTCAGTTACAGTAATTAGTGTTAGCTAATGTTTTTGTAGTAACAGATACGAGATATTTTGTCGAATTATTCCTAAACACAATGAGCAAGGCGGAGTAATGTTACGGCTCAGTATGTCAATAGACTAGATCGACTTGACTTATTCAGAGTTAGGCCCAATTTTAGACGTCCTACCTCATTGCAATCAGGTTTGACTTTAGCACGGCTGAAAAACGACTCATTGAAACATCGGGCTAGAGTCGTACAAAAATTCAGGCTTTCCTGAAGTAAAGCGACAATTTCTTGTAACTTCCCGCGACAATTAACAAAATAATTAATGGTAAATACCACAGCGTACACTATTGAGTTATGGATGCACGCGGGAGGTTACTAAGCACGAAAGAAGCGTAAGAGTCGCTCGAGGCGACAGCCGAGAGCGACTCTAGCATCTTGAGTGCTTAGAAAACCTACCAAGTGCAGCCATAACTCATTATAGTTCACCACTAAATTTTCTCCGGTTCTTATTGGTTTAAATCGATCACGTGACGCGATAGTGTTTATCCATGGAGAGACACTATCAGCCCATAGTGCCCGCCCGCGGAAAATACCCAGACGGATAGTGCCCGTCCGCGGAAAATACCTAGTTTGATAGTACTCATCCGTGAAAAGTTTTGAATAGTTTGACGGCCGCGAAGTTAGGCAGATCGGAAAAACAGTGACTTTTCAATTCTGACAGGTATAACGTATTATTTAGCCAATGTACGGTTGGGAATTATTGACATTTGGGACAAGCTGTAGGCGCAGAAGAAAATTTAGTGGTGAACAATAAAAACAATAGAGTGTTTATGTCTCGGAACTATCAGTCTGATAGTTGCCCCTTGTAAATTTGATGTTCTTAAAACTAGCATATTTGCTTTAAGAACATCAAATTTCCGCGGGGCAACTATCAGCCGATAGTTCCTCGACAGAAACACTCTATTGTTTAATTAGAGTTTTTTTTTTTTTACCATAATCTTGTCAAATAAGAATACATCGTAGTAGTGTTGTATTTCAAGAGATGATTATATACTACCAACACACACTTTTATACATTTTTTGTGGTAGTTTCCATGAAGCCGTTCGCGTGCATAACGTGCGCCCGATAATATTGTAACCGTTGCAGGAATAAATGAGTTAAAATCATCTTTTTGCGCCATATTATCTCACTTTTTGGTATATGCTAAAACAGCTATTCATCTCTGTGTTACAGGCTAGCGGTGAATATTTACCAAGCCGCTTTGCGTCTTGGTGAATATCCCCCACTAGCAACCTCCATTTCGTTTAGTGGTTTTGGTCGTTTTGAAATAACCGAGACAGTTTGTCTTTCTCTATTGGAAACATCTGTCTTGTACCAATAACTGAGAGAAAACCCTGAGGTAGAGCTTTATTGAACTCCTTGGCATAGTAACAGTTTTTTGACACCACATTCATTCTTCCCGGGTTGCCTTTATAATGCAACTTCTACGTTTTTCTGTACAAGTCAGAGATGTATGAGTTCATGAAACAAGGATATGTTAGTCTAAAGAGTCGGTTCCAAAATAGCCTATTTTGTATATTCTTTTTAAGTTTTCCCACAGTATTTTTACTCTAAAACATGATCCTAGTAATTTTTAATAATAATAATATATTGATTTCTATAACGTATTTCCATGGAATGCTCTAATGCGCTTTACAACACTGTGCGGGGTACTTTTCCAGACTGCCGGCAGCAGTTTACAATTAATGAGGAAGAAATTTTACAGATGCCCCCTCCCCCCATTCCCAGTAACCAGGCCAGACCACATCACACTAATCTCGTGATGTGGGTTCTTTAACGTCCCCTGCCGAAATTAACTAATTGATAGATGCAGGAGACTGGACTACTCACGCCTTCCCCTTCCTTTCCCTTCCCTTATGTTTATTGTGACTCTCAGGTGAAGACCAGGAGCATGCCAACTTTTATGCAAGCCAGCAGCCGTCTACAATTGGCTCTCGCAGACCACAGTGTAACACTAATTTGTTCTTTTTCACACAGTGTTTTGACTTTGGAACGTAATCTTAGCAATTTTCTCCTTGTTTAACTCTCAGGTGATGACCAGGACCTTGTAACCCAGCAGCCATCTACAAGTGGATCTGGCAGACCACAGTGTAAGACTAATGATCAGTCAGTGTTGATGATTATCACCATTCATAAAATGTTCATTCCTACGTGCGCTCTCATCGGTTGATTGGTGTGTTTAACGAGAGTTTGTAAACACCGTTCTGCAATTATTCTAAGTGCAATTATTAAGGCAATGGAGAAAAATTCGCCTATTCTGGTTTGAGCCCTAGGAAAAAGAACTAATCTAAGGAAGAAATTCAGCGCTTTGCATGTAGCCTGCAGGAGAAGCGTAAATTTCTGCGTTTTGCAGGCGTTTAATTAAGCGTTAGGTGAGCACATATGCAAGCTCTTTACGGACATTAACTCAAAAGGCAATTCATTTCTCTCTCAGTATTTCTACGCCTGTAAACTCGAAAAAGTTGAGGTCCGGCCTTTTTTAGAGTTGTTTTTACACCCCAAGTCACTCCGATCTGCTTTCCGGC